AGAAGACGAGTGGCTCATCTTATTCTGGAAAAAGAGTGGCTTTTCATTTCTGCCCTTAGTATTGGGTAGGGAGGTCTGAGGTCCACTCTGAATTTGTGGAAAAACTCAGACTAGCCCTTGAACTGGGATGTGGTGTGGATAGGCCTAGGGTCTAATCCAGTGACTAGAATTTAGCCCAGGGCCCTTAATCCTTGTTTTTGGTTGTCCTGACCTAGAAAAACAGGTTCCCACAGCATTTCAGACTGGCATATAACATTCTTCTCCAAAGGATGACTTCCTCAGCATTCTTTAAGACATGGCTCCACTGCTACTTCCTCCAGGGAAGTCCTCATCCGTTTCCCTGTGCCCTCATCACATAGCTTCAGTTTATTATATTATAGAGTTTATAATATAATAATAGAGTTTATAATATAATACTATAATTATATGTTATTATAGTTTATGTGACTCTCATCCTCATTAGTCTGGGAGCTCCGAGGAGGAAACGGGAACAAAAGTTCGCAAAATTGTGTCTCCTCGGTGTCTGCCTAAATTGTTCAGTAAATATTTGCAGAACAAAAGAAATCCCATTTTTCCTATTTTTTGTGTGTGTGTGTGTTTTATCTAGTAGGTTCTTTACCAAATTTGAGGACCAGACCCCATAATGTCCTTCTTGTTCCTGGGAGATGTAATGTCATTACAGATGTGGAGTCTAATAAACGAGCTGAGCTTTATTCAGGAGGTGGTGAGATTTTATAATTGGAGATGGAGCAGGAAGGGGATCCATGTTCTTTCTCATGAAGTCCTTGCTGACTGTGTTAACGCCACCTTCCTTAACGCCACCCTCCATTTTGCATTCTTTCCAATTACCGCACCGGACTCACTCACTCACCCATCTCTCTTGAGAGGAATGCCTGGGTTGACTCCTATCTCTACACTTGTGTGAACTTGACTTTCTTCACTTTGTTCAGCCTCAGTTTCCTCACCTCAAAGATAGGAATAATGTCAAAATCAGTTACCACTTTTGAATGTCATTCTCAAACTTCACATGAATTGACATGTCTAATCCTCATAAAACCACTATAATGTTGGTACTATTATTAGCACTTCTGTTTCACAGATGGGCAAACTGGCACAGTGAGCATCAAATAACTTGCCCAAGATCCCAGAGTAAGGGAGTAGTGAGTTAGAGTCAGAACTCAGACAGTCCCTGCTCTTAACCATCACACCCATCTGTCCAGTATTTGCTACACTTTGAAACAAGATTTGCTTTGTAGGGTTGATAAGACATGGAAGGCACTGCAATCACATGAGATGTTCACTTCTAGTTAGCCTGCCACCAGCTTCCCTGAACCAACAACCTCCAGGGCACAGCTGGAGTCTTCCCAACGAAGACTCCTTGCTATGGCAGTTAAACGTTAAAAATTTTTTTCTAATTGAAGGATAATTGCTTTATAGAATTTTGTGGTTTTCTGTCATATACCAATAAGAATAGGTACACCCATGTCCCCTCCCTCCCGGACCTCCCTCCCCACCCCACCCTTCAGCCCCCATTTGAGTTCCCTGAGCAAATTCCCACTGGCTACCTATTTTACATATGGTCTTGTAAATTTCTCTGTTACTTTCTCCATTCATCTCCCCTTCTCCCTACTCCCCTCCCCCATGTCCATAGGTTTGTTCTCTATGTCTGTTTCTCCATTGCTGCCCTAAAAACAAATTCGCTACGGTGGTTTTGTGTCAGGAGGTTCTCTTTTGGGTGATTTCCAATGACTTCCACACTCCTGTCATGCTAGTGGAATGAGCCATTGTGAATTGTGGGCTCTAAGATGGAAGGAACCTGATTCTCTGGTATTTTGGAATTACCATGCACCCTGTACTGTTAGTGAGAGAGAAACATGCTTCACACACACACACGCACAGGCCTGGAGGAGCCTTCTTTGTTTCAGATTTGAATAGCCAGACTTCATCTATTTAAACCGCACTAATTTGGAGCTTGTGCAAGTTTGCCCTCAGGCAGCCTGGGTGAAAGGATATATTTGCACTGGATTAAAAATCAGAGTTTGCTGAACAGACCCATGTATACACCTGATTTCACTTGTTTAAACTAGGATTTTTAAGATACTTAAAAATCTTTTATTTGGATATGATGATTGATACATTAATTACAATAGATTCTGACCTATTCATTAATACTTAGAGGCTACTTGGTCTGGGAGGTCTGAGAATGCTTGTAATGCAAAGGAATAAAGCTGCATTTGTGCATACAAAATTCAGAAATTTCATTAATTCTAATTCCTGATCAGGATAAACAAGTAAATTTCACAGTTTCTTGGGTGTTTCCTCTGGGTCCCAGTGTGATTTTGTCTCCTTCTGGCTACAACCTTGGCCAGGATCACAGGACACCAGATACTTTTGTAGGGGAATGTACAAGGGCAATTCATTAACGTCTATATACAACTCATTCTTCTTCTGGTCCCCAGAGGTTCAGCGCCCAGTTTCTGGGTGGTGGTAGCCCCCACTGACCTCTGTCCCCCTTCTCCATGCCCATGGGGGATGCTTGGAACCATGGATTATTGGTACCATATTCTCAGTCATTTGATTTTCCTAAGTCATTTCCTAAGATGCTTGGGGTAGAAAAACAGAGCTAATATCTCAGGCTTTTGTAAGTCTTGTAAGTCAGACTCATTTTCAGGAGACTTCCATGATGTCTGACAGAGCAGACAAAGGGCAAAGTGGCCCCTGGAGGTTCAGCAATCCTTCCCAGCTACCTGTGGGTCCTATGGAGCTATCTGGCAAGTGTCCCAGAAGTCCAGTTCCATGGGACATTCCTGTCCATGTCACCAGACTCCCAACATCCATCCAGCCACTTACACATTCATCCCTCAAGCATTTGCTGTGTGCCTACTGCATATCAGCAAGATGCAGTCTTGACTCTCAGGGAGTTCAGGGTCTATGGTCAAGACAGGCATTTATACAAGTAATGATACTCTAGTGTGATAAAAGCTAGAACTGAGATGTATACAAACTACCAAGTGCAGAAGAGCAAGCAGATAATTCAGTTTGGTTGGGGAGGAAGGCTGCACAAATATCAAGCCAGAGACACTTGAGTGAAGTCTTATGGGAGCAGGGGTTTCCATTAGCCGGAGATGCCTGGAGGCAAGCAAGGCATGGATACAGAAAATGTCAAGAAAAGCCACAGTTCTGTAAGATTGGAGCAGAGGGTGAGGAGGGAGAAGAAGGTAATCCCAAAGCTGCCATTGGCGTTGTCCCAAGCACCATGCTGGAGGATTCAGACTTTATTCTGAGGCCGTGGTACATACTCAAAGCAGGCCTGTGAACTCAAATGCCTTACATGATGATGAGGGGGTCCAGTTGGGGACTGAAAAATCGAGGAGTGCAGGTCCCATCCGAGGTGGCAGTCTTGAAGCACAGGCTTAGCTGGCCAAGTCTCCACATCACACTGAGTCAAGTAAGTTGGACAGAGAAAGACAAATATCATGTGATATTGCTTATATGTGGAATCTAAAAAATGGTACAGATGAACTTATTTACACAACAGAAATAGAGTCACAGATGTAGAAAATGATCTTATGGTTGCTGGGGGAAACGACAGGGGGAGAGATAAATTGTGAGATTGGGATTGACATATATATTGACATATATACACTACTATATGTAAAATAAAGGACCTACTGTATAATACAGGGGACTCTATTCAAATACCCCGTAATGACCTATATGGGGAAAAAATCTAAAAAAGAGTGGGTATATATATATATATATATACACCCACATACATACATGATTCATTTTGCTATAGAGTAGAAATGAACACAACACTGTAAATCAACTACACTCCAATAAAAAAATTTTTTTTAAAGAAGCTGGAAATCCATATTTTATATGAACACTCCCAAGTTCGTAATGTGGGAAATTATTTCCAAATGTCAAGCTGGCCAAGCAAAAACATGTCTGATGTCCCGTCAGCCTCTAGTTTGGCTTCACTTCAGATGTAAAACTTACGCGGAGAGCTGACACCATCATACTATGTTTCAGGAAGAGGATGCCCCCACAGGTCTCCCCAGCCTTTGTCAGCAAGAACCTCTTCTCCTTCCCCCACACCCTTGCTTCTCCTCTCACTGCCCTCCCACACCATCCCCAGCACAGCCCCACCTTGCTGGGAGGAACTGGAAGAATGAGCCATGCCCCAGGCCTGACTCACAGAGAAAGCCCAGCCATAAGGACACGAGAGAGCCGTATTTATTTCACATGGACAAGCATGATTCCATTGCATGCTGAACATGAAAGCTCGCGTGAGGAAGTACCCGTAACAGCAGAATTATGTGCTTTTGTCCACAGGGAGCAGGGAGGATCACAGGGTGTTTTTCAAAGACAGTTCCCCTTCAAGCAGAGTTGAAACCACAGGTTTTGAAATCACTGGTTTATTTCATCAGCAAAGGGTCTGTCTCCTAAGGGTGGCCAGGGGGAACACTTCCAGCTCCACAATCTCTGCACGAGCTGCTGAGGTCAGGAGGACGAGGCTGGTCCCCATCCATCACCCAGGGCGGCTCGAGAGTTAAGCTCAGAAGGGAGGTACATGCCACTCAGAATTAACAAGCCTGCTCCAGGGTGGATGGTGATGGGACAGACTGCTGTGTTCATAGCAATAGAACCATCACCACTTATAATATGTATCTATAATCAGAAGATCTGTGTTTCCTAAAACAATTTCCCAAGACCTCTTATGGGCTGAAAGGAAACTATTAGGAACTGACTGGACATGCCAGAAATAGATCAACTTTGCCTGGACAGACTGGGGAGAACTAGTGGCAGGGACCACCCTCCCGCCCCCCCCACACACACTGGTCTCTTGGCCTTTAGCTGGGCTTCCCCATTCCAAGAGGATGGAACCAAGAGGGGAAGAGGGGCTGGAGCCTGGATTCGCTGAGGGAAGAGGGTCAGAGGCTTTCAGGGCAAACCTCATGGAAGAGACTAGCGGAAGAGCCCTGAATCTCCTTGGCTCATTCCCACCTGAAGTCCTGCCCAACAGTTTCATAAAATTTAATATTATATGGTCTATAAAATTCCCGGAGTTGGTCTATCACTTCAGGGTCGATCTGTACATGAGTTCTGCCTTTTGATTTGCCCAGGCATCGAGGCAGGAGGCTCGACTCTGTTTTTTTCAAGCAAGGGAATCCTTTGGTCTTGTTGAAATAGAAGTGCTTGTCCGTGATGAGCCTTTTGATGCCCAGGAAGTCCTGGACGCGCCCCATCTCGCCGGCCGGGTCGGTGATGAGCCGCTCACCGCTGACGAAGTGAATCTGAGCCAACGGGAAGTAACGCAGCCAGCTCTCCAAGTGCAGCGCGTACATGCCGATGCGGATGGCGTTCCAGGACACGTCCACCAGGCCCAGCGTGCGGTTGCGGAACGAGAGACCCTCGAACGTAGGGATGTCCGGCTTCTTGGAGAGCGTCTGGGTGTAATCCGAGATGGCGCGGGTCACGGGGTTCCGAACGACCACGATCAGCTTGGTGTCTCGGGACATGTTGAAGATCCGGCGAGGGGCCTCTTGAGTGACAAAATAGCTGGGAGTCTTTTCCAGTGTGATCTGACTCTCGAGGGTCCGAGGCATGAGGCTCCTGTGGGGCAGAAATGCACATGATCAGCCAAGGCTATTCTGAGGGCCCCCGGGAGATCACTTCCCTCCACCCAGCTCCCCTGGGGAACCCCGCCTTCCCCTCTGTGACATTTGAGCCTCGCCTGTTCTCATCTGATGAAGCACCTGTTTTAACTCTTGTTGACCCTTTTTTCAAAGTCTTTAACAGTTTAAGACAAGAACCAATCTAAATGTCCATCAGTATGGGTTAGATAAATGATGGAATAGCCAATTAATACAGTTGGGTAGATCTGTGTGTACTGTTATGGAATGATTTCCAAGATTTAGTGCTTAAATGAAAAAAGGCAAGACACAGCTTGTTTATCTGGGGAAAGATACCAAGAAACCAATAAAAGTAATTGCTTCTGGGGAGGGGCCTTGAGTGGGAGCAGAGCAGGGAGGTCAGAGATAAATGAGAATTACTTTTTATTGTGTAATCTTTTACGCTGCTTGAAATTTTTATTGTGTTTATTACATATTCAACAAAATACAAAGGAAGCCACTGAATATTGTTCTGGCATAAGATACCTCTCCAAATAAGAAACTCTTTTGGGGAGAGGAAAGGCATGTTTTGCAGGAATAGCATGTGTTTTTGGAACCGAGTTCTGATGTCTTTTCCTGCTGAAATACATCTGAAATATATCCGTGGTAAAAGACTGAAGCAGCACAGAATTTCAGGTGCGGGGAGGGGCTCAATCGGAAGCCCAGTAATGCAACCTCTTGCTGCCTTCTTAATTTCCTGGTTCTGCATAAGGTTTAAGGGAGGATGGCAGGACAAGCTGATGTCTCCTTCTCAAGGGTTTCTCTTTCAGGTCCTTGTGAAAGGGAACACCTCTGGCTCCCAGTTGCTACTTCTTTCGGGAAGGTTGTGTTTTATCCTTAACTAGTTTTTCTTATATAGTGAAGAATAGAGGTGCCTGGCATGCTGCAGTTCATGGGGCTGCAAAGAGTCGGACATATGACTTAGTGACTGAACAATGACAGCAAAGTTTTTCTTAATCCTGGCTGCACATTAGATCACCCAATTAAAGAAAAAAAGAAAAAAGGAAGGTGGTTTTTTGAGGCGCTAGCCTGCCATCTTCTTGATCAGTTGGCCCCCGAATAAAGTCTCTTTCTTGCCTCAGCCCCTCATCTTTCAGATTCATTGGCCTGTCGTGCAGTGAGCAGAGCAAGCTTGGACTCAGTATCAATTTGGTTTAGCCAGCCAGAAGACTTGCTGCTCGTGGCTAGCTGATCCTGATCAAGGAATATTGGGGCAAGACCCTAGCAGTGGCTGGGACCATTTGTCCTGAGGTTCTTTCCTTCAAGATTCCCTGCAGTGGCCTGGCTGCCCCCAGCACTTGGCAGCTGAGAAAAGGAACAGGCAAACTTCTACCAGTTGACAGACTCGGATTTTGTTTGTAGAGATTCATTAACAACAAACCCAGCCCTGCTGAGATAGGTGTTCTGTAATCTCTTCAGAAACTTGATAGCTTCCAACTCAGTTCAAAACTGAGTAAGCATCCAGGCAGAGAACAAGATGACAGAGGAGTAGGTGGACGTGGAGTACATCTCTCTCCACAGATACATCAGGAATACACCTTCAGACACAGAAGTACATGCAGAATACCAACTGAGAGCAGACAGGGGTACCTGGCCAGCAGAAAATAATAATATGGATCCCCGCAAAACTCAAGCTCAAGCCCTGAGCCTTTGGAGTGGGAGCACTGACTCCAAGACCCAAGACTACGAGAGAACTAACCCTAGGGGGTATCAGATAATGAGAACTCACACAAAGGAAACCACTGGAATACAGGACCTGGCATCACCCAGCCACCAGTAGCACCCTATGCAGGATGCTGCATCTAAACAACAAACAAAGCAAAAATATAAACCAAATCATCAGCCGACAGAATTACCACCTCACTCACCCTTGCCCATCAGAGGAAAAACAAATAAACAAACAAACAGAAACTCAGCACAAATCTCACCCTATACAGAGCTTACACAAACCACTGGACCAAACTTAGGAGGGCAGAAACAAAAGAGAAGGAAGAATTCAACCTTGAAGCCTGGGAAAAGGAGACCTCAAACACAATAAGTTAAAAAAAAAAATGAAAAAGCAGAGAAATGCTACACAAATGAAGGAACAAACTAGTCCAAATAAATGAAGAGGAAATAGGCAAACTACCTGAAAAAGAATTCAGAATAATGATAGTAAAGATGATCAAAAACCTTGACAACAAAATGGAGAAAATGCAAGAATCAATTAACAAAGACCTAGAAGAACTAAAGAATAAACATGCAGAGACAAACAACACAATTACTGAAATTAAAAATACTCTAGAAGGAATCAATAGCACAATATCTGAGGCAGAAGAGTGAATTAGTGAGCTGGAAGATAAAATGGTGGAAATAACTTCTGAAGAGCAGAATAAAGTAAAAAGAATGAAAAGAACTGAAACTCTGGGACAATATCAAATGCACCAACATTTGAAATATAGGGGTCCCAGAAGAAGAAGAGAAAAAGAGAGGGTATGAGAAAATTTTTGAAGTGATTATAGTTGAAAATTTCCCAAATATGGAAAAGGAAATAGTCAATCAATCCAAGAGGCACAAAGAGTCCCATACAGGATAAAACCAAGGAGAAACATACCAAGGCACATACTAATCAAATTAACAAAGACTAAACACAAAGAAAGAATATTAAAAGCAGCAAGGGAGAAGCAACAAGTAACATACAAGGGAAACCCCATAGGCTTAACAGCTGATCTTTCAGCAGAAACTCTGCAGGCCAGAAGGGAATGGCAGGATATATTTAAAGTACTGAAAGGGAAAAATCTACAACCAAGCTTACTGTACCCAGAAAGGATCTCATTCAAAACTGACGGAGAAATAAAAAGTTTTTCAGACAAGCAAAAGTTAAGCAAATTCAGTATTATCAAACCAGCTTTACAACAAATGTTAAAGGGACTTCTATGGTCAAGAAATACAAGAGAAGAAAAAAGATCTACAAATCAACCCCGAACAATTAAGAAAATGGCAATAGGAACATATGTATCAATAATTACTTTAAATGTAAATGGATTAAATGCTCCAACCAAAAGACATAGACTGGCTGAATGGATATAAAAACAAAACCCATATATATACTGTCTACCAGAAACCCACTTCAGATCTCAAGACACATATAGACTGAAAGTGAGAGGATGGAAAAAGATATTCTGTGCAAATGAGAAGCAAAGGAAAGCTAGAGTAGTAATCATCATATCAGACAAAACAGACCTTAAAATAAAGAAGATTATAAGAGATAAGGAAAGACACTACATAATGATCAAGGGATCAATCCAAGAGGAAGACATAACAATTGTAAATATTTATGCACCCAACATAGGAGCACCTCAATACATAAGACAAACACTAAAAGACATAAAAGGAGAAATTGACAGTAACACAATAATAGTAGGAGACTTTAACACCACACTCACAGCAATGGACAGATCATCAAAACCGAAAATTAATAAGGAAACACAAGTCTTAAATGATACATTAGATGAGATGGATCTCATTGACATCTTCAGGACATTCCATCCAAATGCAGAAGAATATACCTTCTTCTCAAGTGCACATGGAACATTCTCCAGGATAGACCACATGGGTCACAAATCAAACCTCAGTAAACTTAAGAAAATTGAAATAGTATCAAGCATTTTCTCCAACCACAATGCTATGAGAATAGATATCAATTTCAAGAAAAAAACTGTAAGAAACACAAATGCATGGAGATTAAACAACACGTTTCTAAATAACCAACAGGTTACTGAAGAAATCAAAAGGGAAATCAAAAAATTTCTAAAAACAAATGACAATGAAAACATGACAACTCAAAACCTACGGGATGCAGCAAAAGCAGTCCTAAGAGGAAGTTTATAGCAATACAATCCTACCTCAAGAAACAAGAAAAACATTGACTAGACAACCTAACTTTATACCTAAAACAATTGGAAAAAGAAGAACAAAAAACCCCCAAAATTAGTACAAAAGAAAGAAAGAAATAAAGATCTGAGCAGAAATAAATGAAAAAGAAATGAAAGAAACAAAAGTAAAGATTAATAAAACTAAAAGCTGGTTCTTTGAGAAGATAAACAAAATTGACAAACCTTTAGCTAGATTCATCAAGAAAGAAAAAGAATCAAATCAACAAAATTAGAAATGAAAAAGGAGAGATTACGACAGACAAGGCAGAAATACAAAGGATTAAAAGAGACTACTATAAACAACTATATGGCAATAAAATGGATAACCTGAAATAAATGGACAGATTCTTAGAAAAGTTCAATCTTTCTAGACTGAACTGAGAAGAAGTAGAAATTATGAACAACCCAATTACAAGCACTGAAATTGAAGCTGTGATCAAAAATCTCCCAAAAAACAAAAGCCAAGGAACAGATGGTTTCACAGGAGAATTCTATCAAACGTTTAGAGAAGAGCTAATGCCTATCCTTCTAAAACTCTTCCAAAAAAAACGCAGAGGAAGGAACACTTCCAAGCTCATTCTGAAGGCCACTATCACCCTGATACCAAAACCAGACAAAGACAACACACAAAAAGAAAACTGCAGGCCAATATCACTGATGAACATAGATGTAAAAATCCTCAACAAGATTCTAGCAAACAGAATTCAGCAACACATCAAAAAGCTCATATACCATGATCAAGTTGGGTTTATTTCAGGAATGCAAGGATTCTTCAATATGTGCAAATCAATTAATGTGACACACTACATTAACAAACTGAAAGATAAAAACCATAGGATAATCTCAATAGATGCAGAAAAAGCCTTTGTGATAAGCCTACAGCAAACATTATTCTCAATGGTGAAAAACTGAAAGCATTCCACCTAAGATCAGGAACAAGACAAGGATGTCCACTTTCACCACTATTATTCAACATAGTTCTGGAAGTCCTAGCTACAGCAATCAGAGAAGAAAAAGAAATAAAAGG